AAATAGACTGGGAGCTTGTCTCTGTTCCTACTACAACAGCTGTGTTTTACTGCCTAACACCTGAGGTGCCTCTGCTGAAAAGGTAGAGTCTTGCACATTAACTTCATCATGAATTAGAGTGTTTTATTGCTTGTGGGAGGGAAAAGCAGGCCAGGAAGGTGAGTGCCTCCCTCTGCTCCTGGCTCTCCAAGCCTGCTGCCAAGTCACTGACTACATCTTCTGTTCATTAAAGTGCAAAAAATGTGCAAGAGGTTGGAAAGTGGCTCAAAAAGCAGTCAGAAGGTCAGAACAGTCCTGACATCCCCTCCCTCCATCACAGCAAGGAGCTCTTTTGCAATGCTAGCAATGGAGGCTGGCATAAAATCTTTTCAGAGAAGTTGCTGTGGTGGTGCACTGTCAAACTTCCTCTTTCTTACTGTGCAGCTCGGGGTGGTATAACCAGGACCTCCCAGCAGCTGAAGGGAGCCTGCAAGAAAGAGGGAGAGGGACTTCCTACAAGGACATGTGGCAGCAGGTCACAGGGGAATGGATCCAAGCTGAAAGGCAGTAGGTGTAGATTAGATGTTAGGATGAAGCTCTTTGATGTGAGAGTGGTGAGGCACTGGCACAGGTTACCCAGAGAAGTTGTGGCTGCCCCACCACTGGAAGTGTTCAAGGCCAGGCTGGATGGAGCCCCTGATCACCCTGGTCTAGAGTAAGGTGTCCTTGTCCACAGCATGAGGGTTGGAACTAAGTGATCTTTAATGTCCCTTGCAACACAAAACATTCTATGATAGTGTGATTTTGGGGAAAGATCTATGTTGCACTTTAAATTTTCAGTATATACGTAATTTACAGGGGTGTATGTGTAGGATGGTTGCTAATATTGTTACTTCCACCTTTTCCCATTATTTATTCCTGAACAGAAACTTGTGGCTCTCTGAGGAGTGTCTGGATCCTTGCAGTGCCTTCATGGCAGTGGACACACCAGTTATGCTGATGAGAAGATTAGGTATAGGGAGATGGAATGACTTGCCCAAAACCAGACAATCTGTGACTTCTTAAATTATTGCAATCATCTTCAGTCTTCTTGGAAATGTACTATTTTCCCTCCCTTTGGGAATGTGTGTAGAAACATTACAACCTCATTTCAGCTTTCCAGAGGTGAAATCACGTATCATTTATACCTGATGCAGTTGCCAAGAGTGGTTTCCTTACTGCTTCTGTTTGTTTTGCTGTGGGATTCCTGCTGTGAGTTCTCATGTCCTTGGAATTATTGGTTTTCCTTTACTACCTGAGATAAAGGACAATGAGCTGCTTTGATTTGAAAACCCATAACACAGCTGGAGCCAGGAGGTTCCACCCCCCATTCCACCCCCACCACTCAAGCCAAGAGCCAGGCTCTGCCAGCTCAGCAGTGCTGCTGTCACTCCTTCCCGTTCCGCAATGTGCAAACAGCCCGGTGACATAGCGGGGTAGCGCTGTTTGAACAGTCTCTGCAGTCAAGGATTTTTCCAAAAGAAATTGGACAGGAATCGATGGATGTGCATGTGAGTGTGGTATTGCACAGTGCAGGTGGGATGGAAAATGAAACACGTTGTGGCAGAGCCGAAAGAGGACAGGCTTTGAGGGCGGATGGAGTTGTAAAATCTTGCGAGTGAGCTGTGGAAGAAGATATAAAAGGAGGCCCCTGCTATTTTGTCTCACATACATTATGTTATTTAACACTGATTGCCTGCCTAAAGGCTCCCTTCCCTCCTTTCCTTTTGCTCCATCACTTGTACCAGTCCTCTAGACCCTCTGCCGCTTTGCTGTGGAGCAGCTCTCTCTGCCTGGGTGGGCAGACAGCTGCCTCCTCCTGTGAAGCAAATGGTGTGTTTCATCCATCACACACTGGGCAAAATTAGGGCCTTCCTCACTTTTTATCACTCAGTTTCATGATTTCCTGCAGAATGCTTCATGTCGTCAGATCTGTGGTTTTATCTGACAGCACCTTCCATGCTCTGCTTTCTCAAAACCTCCTGTGAAATTGGCCCATTTTGAACAAATTGCTCTTGAACAGTTTGCTGCTGGAGAAAAGAGCTCGTGACTTGTTTCTTGTGGAATGCTATCTCTTGTGCAGACTCAAAATATGTTTGGCGTGTGATCTCCTAGGGCCTGCTTTGAGACCACCTAGGTTAGGACCAGGCACTTTCTCTCCTCCCTGCACAGATGTGAACCATGGTGTTTATTTGCAAGCTAGACCAGCAGTGATCTTTGGATCTGCAGTCCTTGGGCACTGTGTCAAAGTGGGACAGGAATGATTAATATTTCATCTTGGAGAAATGCCTGATAACTCACGATCTCTTTGGGATGGATTTTCTGGACTATCTCTCTTGACCTGTAGCACTGGGGGGCCTGGTTCTGGTAAATGAATGAGGCTGGTATATCTCTGAAATCTAGGGAAGAGAGGATGGAGGAGGAAGCTCCTTCAGAAGAAGAAGAGTGAGACTTCAAGGACTCTGTCTCTGGGAGGAGTCCTGGAAAGGGAAGTTGAATTGCTGCCTTGAGGGTCCCTCTCTTCCACAGGGAGTTGGGCTGTGCTGTTTGGAGTGTGCCAGCAGTAACACAGGCTTGGTTTCTCAGGTGGGGTTTCCTTCACACAGGATTGCACCTTCCTCGGTACTTGCTCTCATCTGGGCGCTGGAACCCTTGTGTGGGGCTCCTCTTACAGAAGACTCTTCCCTTGCTGCCATCACGTGGTGGCCAGGCTGGGCTTGGCAGTGGATTTTATTTTCCCCTAAGTCCTGACTGCACACCAGGAGCAGAGAGTACTGTGGTGGTGACTGTTTGCTTGAGGCTCATGTTACTCTGCTAAGCCCTGTTGAGGCAGATGTCCCTGGAGCAGCTCCGTGTGTGCATTCCTCCAGAGCTGGCTGTCTCAGGGATACCTTCATGGGGCAAGGTGAAACTGTTCAAGCACCTAAATATTCTTCTTTCATATGGACACCTTTTGAATTACCTCTGTTTGTAAAGCAATCCCAGTTAAATATGGGGCAAGGTGAAACTGTTCAAGCACCTAAATATTCTTCTTTCATACGGACAATGAATGAATTACCTCTGTAAAGCAATCCCAGTCAAATGGAAAACCTGACCTCTCCTGGTACACCCCATTGAAGTGACCAAAACCATTATCAAAAGGTTATGGAGTCAGATTCCTGCTATATAAAGCAAGTGACATTTTGCTAGAAGCATTGGTGTGAATGGATGTTAAAAAAATAAACAAAGGATTAATTTTCTTTCACAAAAGGAAGGGGGTTGAGTTGGTTGGGTTTTTTTTTTTTACAGTCTCAGAAGATTTCAGGAGGAAGATTCCCTTTGAGCTATTCAGCTCAGCTAAAGAAGGTAGGAATTTTGCTTGGTCTTTTGATATTTCATGGAAAGTACTAATTAGCCCCAATGCTTGAGTCAGCCAGTGCAAAATGCCAGCCAGTCTCTACTTTCTTGCTGATATGGCACCAGTCACTGCAATGTGTAGAAAAATCCCACCCTTCACGTGCTTCCAGGCTGCCCCTCCACAGGCGACTGTGTCCTTGTCCCTGCGTGTCACTGACATAACAGGTCCCATACCTGGTTCTGCTGCTGGAGGGGTCCTGCAAGGACAGCAGCAGAATGGGATGATGCAGAAGAGGAAAAAACAGATTTCCCTGCTCTTGGCATGCACAGACTGTTGATGAACCATTAATAACTCCTGTACAGACACCAGGTATAACAAGGAAGAGCTACTAAATAACCCAGGGTGGTTTTGCAGCTACATTGCTACCTCTCTAGATAATATTTTACTTCTAGTTTTAAGTTTTTTGCTGTCCTTGCATGATGTTAAACTGGAATAATCTGTTGTTTTCAGCACAGAAAGCATTCAGGGAAGTATGCACAAGAAATCACAGGAAGCAAGTTAATAAAAATACTTTCATTTTCAATTCCCAGAAACTCTGTGCTCTTACACAGAGCTTTGCTATATGTCGCTGGCATAGCAGCCCCAAAACACATGCTTCAGTGAGAAATATGTTCTTGGAAAATGTGCAGGAAGTGGCACTGGGTACTGAAGTCCTCAGCTCCCCTGTAAAGCTGACCCAGGGGGCAGCAGCCGTGAAATTTTCTTTTCCCTTTGCTGCCAATGTACCTTGGCTCTGACCCGGGAAAACCTCTACAAGAGGGGTAAAATTCAGGTCACGGCTTGGCAAGCCCTTCATTGCATCAGGACTTTAGTTTCCAGGGTCTCTCTGGGCAAAGCTTAACCTCCCAAACGTAGATGAGGCACCCTTTGGTAACGGGACTGTTGTGCAAAAACAGGCAATATGACATTTCCTTGAACTCTTGGTTCCCTTTGATCAGCAGGTCTCTCTACAAGTAGCTGATATTGGAAAGGGAGTTAGGAATCTCAACAAGAAATGAAGAAGAGCTGCTTCAGGGGCTGGGAAAACTGCTGCTGCTGTCTGAAATAGAAGCACATACTCTGGATGTGGTTAGATTAATTTCTGGGGTTCACAATTTGTATAAATAGTGAGTGGGTAATAATCCATGGGGGTATATGTAGAAGTTAGGGTCAGCTTCATGCGTCAGGAAAGCCAAGAAAAATGGCTTGGTAAAGGCAGAAGGAATTTTCATTAATGGAAAGGGTGTGGGGTCCATCAGAAGGAGAAAGAGTGGGCTGGGATAGGGGAAGGAGGAATCCTGCAAATAGCCACAAATGCAGGAATCCTGCAAATAACCACAAATCTCCGTGGTGCAGGCCAGCAGCGTCCTCTGGCAAACAAGTGTGCAAAGCTGTCTTCTGGGGCTAGTAAGTACAGCAGGGCTTGTCCCCCTCACAGCCAGCCTTACCCTGCAAGTCACCACCCATCAGGACTTTCCAGGCAAAAGGGCACTGGGAACAGCAGCCTTGGCGCAGCATTTCAGGGCTTCATGGGATTATTTATTCACTGTGTTCCTGGAACAGTTCCAGGCTTCCCAGCTCCGCCACCAGTGTACAAATTCATCAAGTACCCTCCAGGCTCAAAATCCCCAGAGGCAAGGGCAGACTGTAGGAAGGTGATTCATATTACAAACCAGTGTCTCCGAAGGACTGGCAGGGCTCTGGGAAGAACGAACCGGATCCTCGTCCCTTCCCTTCCTCCCCAGCGCTCTCAGGGTGGTTACGGCTGCAGCCGCACTCTGGATGGATTTCATTGCTGGGGCCATTGGAGGTAAATACATGAACTAGTGCTTGTTGAACCAAGCAGATAGCTGTGTTTCCTTCTTGTTCAGCTGAAGAGCAGGTCTCAATAGCAGAGCTGAGAGTCTTTCGATGGGGGCTGCTTGTTAAAAGTCTGTTCTTCATTATTAAGTGGGAAATGTCCGAGCAGGTTCACAGAGCTGCTGGAGAGGCAGTGCTGCAGCCTGGAAAGCTGAGGTCATTGCCTGCAATCTCCTCGAGTCTGATTGCAGTGGGACAGGGTAAAACTAATTGGAAGAGACAGAGTGTAATAGGTTTTGTGCAGATACAAACCGGCTTGTACAGCCCTGACAGCGAAACCCTCACGTGTCTGGCATCTAGGGGTTCCAGCAGGCTGCTGGGATGGTGGCTCTGGGGGGCTGAGGATGTGATTTGTGGGAACAGGAGGGGAGGAAGCACAGTGTTCCTATTGCATTCAGAATGTCTGGATGAACGCCCTTTGCACTATCTTAGGTTAAGATGTATTTGCAGTCGTGATGGTGATCTCTGTGCAGGCGAGCCAGGCAGCAGGCTTTGATCTGGGAGAAAGTAGGTTAGCTGTATATAAAAAAAGTAACAGGAGAGAAGTGTGATTAAATTCTAGACATTTTTAGAGCATGTACTGCTCAAACCCATCTTTGTTTCAAACGACAAAATGTACCCATTGGTCTCAGTTCTTCACTGAAACCTCGTTAGATTTAGTGGAGTATACAAGATAATATATACCTGTATATATATATATATATATATGCACACACACATATATATTTATATATTTATATATATGTATATATATGTATATATACCAATAAATACCATGAGAAAAGCCCCTTTGGGTCACCACTGACAGAAAGGCCAGGTAAACCTACCAAGTGGCTGAGACATCCAGTCCAAGCCTCCATAGCAGATCTCACTTTGACATTCACTGAAATTTGGCATTTTCCCTCACCAGGAACAGCCTATGGTCCTGCTGCAGATGTGTTTGTCCTGGGAAGGACCATGCTGAGTTTTACCCTGCCCACTAATTGCTCATCATGTGCAGGTGGGGGGAGGTTTGGCATCTCAGCATCATCTAGCCCTGGAGGGGCCTGTTGTGCCTGTGCTTGGGGTGTTGGTCTTCCAGGGGTGTTGGGAGACCCTTCATGGGAGAGGAGGATATAACCAGCCCCACCATGACAGCTTGTCTTTCTCCTGCTGTTTCCCTTCTGACTTCAGAGCACCCTGTGGAGAAGAAAGCCCTGTCCTAGGGCTGGCAACGGGATGTCCATCCCAGAAGGATTACCCAAACCTCTTCTCAGGCTTCATGTTCATGGTGGGGCAGAGATGATTGCATTTGTTGCTTGGATTCCTTTGCTTTTTTAGCACAGTTTGAGACAGGTCACTTAAGGACAAACTTCTTTTGCAAGGGAACATGGAGAGCTGAAAACAGAGTTTGAACATGGCCATTCACCTTGGTTTTCTGCCCCGGCTCCCATGCAAAGCCAGGGTTTGTGCTGTGACCCCCTGTCCAGGCTCCAGCATCATGTTCTGCCTGGCCATGCAGCAAGAATCTCCCTGTGTGCCCTGGACACAGGCTCAGCCTGAGGGGATGCAGGCTGTGGAGATCCAGCTGGGACCAGAAAAGTCTTTGCTTGTTGTAAGGCACTTCACTGACCTCAGCCTGTAAGAGAACAAGATTTTCCATCCTGTCCTCTATGCCCAGCTCAGAGCTTTTCTAGAAGGGACACTGCAACTTCTCACAGGCTGGCAGAGGTGGGAGTTTGCCCACAGAACCATGGGAGCTGCCTGGGCAGGGCTTCTGAGGCCATCATCCTTCTCCTCAGATGGGACAGCTCCTGGGGTTGGACATCTATCCTGCAAGAACTGGGGTGGTTTTGGTGCTGAGCTTGTTTTGGGGTTTATGTTTGCTACAGCTGAAGCAGTTTTCGTGTTCCTAAGGAGTCTGTGAACCCAGCTAAGGGGCATCAAGCAAGTTGAGGCAACATAAAAAATAAGAGTTTCTGTTTAGTAAATGACACTCTAGTGACCTAGATCTATTTTCAGAGTGTCTTGGAGAAAGCATGGCTTAAGCATGTCTGAAAAACAGCAGAGGTCATGCCCATTCGAATTCCAGCCTCTGGCTGCCTCAGGCAGCTGCACAAATACTGTGCATCCCCTCTGGGCAATGGATTCTGTGGCAATGAGATAAACTCACCATCTTCATCCCAAGAAACAGTGATCTGCTCTGGCTCCAGATAGAAAAAACATGAGAGAAACATGCTTAGTGACTGTGGAGACTTTCTATAACCAGCAAAGATGGCTGGATGTTTTAGGAAGCAGTCTCCTTCCTGGCCACTAAAATTGAGCAGGAGGTTGGACTAGAGAGGTCCTGAGGTGAATTTTGACTTGAATTTTCCTATGATCCCAAGCATGCTTTCTAGCCCTGCTACAGCAGCAGCCTGGGCTGTGGCAGGGGATGGGGATTGGTGGTGACTGCAGGATAACTTGACTCTTATGTCAGGAGTAAAGATCTGGGGAAGCAAAGCCGAGGTTTACCCCGTGGTGGTAATGCAGCAGGGCCTGCAGCAGGACTGGGCTTTTCCACAGCTGGGAGGTTACATGCAGTCCAAGGAAAGATAAAGTAATCCCCCTATAGAAGGAACATGCTGTCTCCTTACAGATAAAGCAGCTCCTGCTAGGATCATGTGATTGAAGGAAGCTCAGCTTACTTAGGGTCTGGAGCACTGATGTTCCCAACTCTGCACAAAACAAAGGGTTTTGAAAGCCACTGTCTGCCCATCCAGTGCATGGACAATGATCCCTGCTTCTCCCTGGCTGTCTCAGCCAAGGTTTGCCATCAGCTCAGAGCTGTTGCAGCCTGGTGGGCTCTGTACAGCTGCCACTTGCTCCCTTGTGATTGCCATCCCACCAGAATCTCTCCTTTTTTGAGCTGCTCGCTCAGAGTGACCTGACTTGTGCAGGGACTGTGAGTGATCCATTTTGTGCACTCCATGCGTGTAGGGGACGCTGCAAGCTCTGCTCAATACCTGGGAATATCTCAGATAAAGGAGGCATAACAAATGGCTCACTAAAATAAAAAGAAGGCAATACCCCTGATTTTGCTATTTATTTTTGTCACAGTGTTACTCAGCAGGAGTCCCACAGGAACCCTCTCCCATATGCCCACTGTTCATTGCTGGCCTTCTTTGATTTTGCTGCACAAACAGGGCACATGTGGGTCATGCTATCTTAGTGCCAGGCTATTTATATCGGGTGACAGTGTGCAGAGCCCTCATTCCCCAGCCTTTGATAGACTTGGCCAAGCTCCTCAAATCTGACAACTGCTTGGAGTGCTTTTCACCCCTAAGTAGTGCAGTTCATGGCAGGTTGGGTTATTTGGAGGTTTGGGGGATTCACATCTTTGCTGGGAGGAGTGAAAAATTTACTTTTCCCCTCCCAAGGGGAAATGTTTGATCCTTACTGGAACCAAGCTGATGGGGAGTCTTTAGGGCTAAAACAGTGTGTTTTGGGCAACCTACTGGGTTGCTGTCTTTGTATCTTATTGTGTGAACAGGGTGATTTCTCCAGGAGGGAGGTCAGTTCTTGTCAAACACTGACCCAAATCACCCTTGGTATGTGATCTGCATGAACCAAAGCTCCTGCCTTCCTTATCCAGTGGCGTGAGCCAGGACTCCGCTGTGCATGGTGCCCCTGCGTCTCCAGCTCTGCTCCGTCCGTGCCCATCTCCTCTGAGGTTCAGGAATTCTGAAAGCGATGAGATGTGTCAGAACCTCCCAGCTGAGATGGGGTGCTTGGCCTGGGGGGCTGCAGCTGTGAGGGCAGCACTGCCATCCTGGCGTGGACTCATGTGCTGCTCTTCCCTGGCTGGCAGAGTCTGTGTTTACTCTGGCTGGTGGCCGGGAACCTGGGACAGCGCAGGTGTCCCCAGATGACTTTGTGCATTGTCACTCTCTGCTTGGACTGAGCCATTGCTTCTCCAAGCCATATTATTGCCTGGGTATTCCCCCTTGCCCTCTCTCTTCCATCACTGTCTCTCTTCCATCTAGACCCTTTCCCCCTTCATTGCTGTTTATCTGGTGTCAGATTTGATAGATGTTTTTGAGGAACAAACCTCAGTTTTCTGCAAAAAAGATGCTGTTGGTTGTTTTCTTCTGAGTAATGCACTTTGGGATTGTCTCCTGGTGACTCACAGCAGCAGCTGCTGCTTTTCTCCAGAACATGGGAGAGCTTTCCAGAGCTCTCAAGCAGCCATGTAATCAGAGGTGAACATGCCCACACCAACTAACACATTTTTAAGTAGCTTGCGTTTTAATTTTTCTTTTTAAAGAAGAACTCAGAGAGAGGCAGTTTTGGATAGGTGAGCCACCAGATGTGCCCTGCATCTCTGAATGCCTGACTGCCTGATGGGCTCATCCAGCGCTTCTATGAACTTGATATCTGTCTAAATAACTCACGTGGACACAGCTCCATTGTTCTCCAGCCTGATTTCCTCTCAGGTGGCTTGGCAGGTGATGTCCTGGGAGGAAGTTTGCTGGTCAGCACCTTTATTACCTGCTAGCACTTAGAGCTGAGAAATGCAGCGAGGTGAGATCTATTTATTATTGCAACAGAGAGAAATCCGTGTTGGAGCTCTTTAGCCCTCCTTGCCATTAAGGCAATGGCTTTGCCTCAGAGGATTAATCCAGCGGCTATTTTAAGGCTCCAGGAGTGAGCGGGGGTGTTGCTGGAGGATTGACACCGGCCCGGAGGCTGGACACGCTCTCATGGCATGTGATGATGCTCAGCCGGCCGTGCTGGGCGGGCTCGGCAGCCGCTGCCTCTGGACACTCCCAGCGCTAATCCCTCCCTGCCCCAAATCCCACAAGCCCTGAAAACCAAAATTGCTCCAGACTCTGCGAGTGGGGATGCTTGGTCATAGCTCAAAGATGTTTTACTGCCCAAGCTGAGAGGGGAAACAAATACAGCCCGGTATCCTCCCTTCATCCTTCGTGGGGCAGTGCTCTCAGTGTCTCTCCCTGTCTCATCTCGCTTGCTCCATCTTGTTGTTCTTGATAAGTTTCCCATACTCTGTTTCCTCCCCTGAGTGAATCTTGGTCACACAGAAATCTGCATTTTTTTTTCTGTCATTCATGGCTCAAACGTCATTACTGGAGCTCGAGAAGCCTGGTGCCAGGCACAGCTGGGCTCTGGAGCTTTCTGCTATTCCCCAGTGCCCTTCTGTGATGGGTGAAAAGGTCTGTTGTGATGTGTGCTGTTAACCATCTCCAACATATTCTCTGTTTCAGGTGGTCTAAGCACAGCCGTGGGTTATCCACTGGACACAGTAAAGGTACCTGTTGGAGCTTTATTTCTTGACTATAGAACAAAAAAGAAAAGGCCCTTTTGTTTTCCTCTTCCCTTTCAGAAAAATAGTCCCAGGATAATTATTTATCTGCATTACATCTCCATATCTCACTGTATTTGGTTGTGTTTGCCTCTAAAAAAAAAAAATTAAATTGTTTGGTCATGTCATTTTATGGTTAATTATCTGTTTGCTGCTATGGCATTTGTTGTTTTATTTATTTTAATATGATATCTGCATTTTAAAGTTGTCCCTGTATTCCTAGGTGAGAATTCAGACTGAGAACCACTACAGAGGATTTTGGCACTGTGTTCAGGAAACATACAGGACAGAAAAGGTGGGTGCCTCTCAGCAGCATTGCTGATGCCAGTTACAGATGTCTTGTTTCAGAGCAGCAGAGTCAGTCTGGGGAGGGTGGGCACCAGTTCCATACAAGCATCAGTTGGGAGAGGCCTCAGGGTGAAATTTAGCTTTGCTGATGAGCTGTAAGGTGGGAATAAGTTTTGACTCAGCAATGTACAGCCAGTGCTTTTCAGCAGATGCTTTCCCTGCCATTCACCCTTAAAAGTCACCTTTCTCCTCTGTTTCCCACGAGGTCCGGGGGTTTTACAAAGGTGTGACTGCATCAGTCCTCGCTGTATCAGCGGTTTCCTCAGTTTCCTTTGGCACGTACAAAAACTCCCTCGGTGCCCTCTGCAAGCTGCGCTACGGGGCTGCAGATGCCAAGCCTTCCGAGCTGGATGTTTCTCTTGCTGGAGCTGCTGCCGGCGCTGCCCGGGTAGGTCAACAGCCAGCAGGGAAAGCACGAGACAGCTCGTTCACAAGCACAGGAGGCTGGAAAAGCGGGGAATGTTTTTTTGGTCGGGGAGGCCACATGGGAGCCTACTACAAGTCTGGTGGGTTTGTTTTTGCAGGGGAGGTCATGCTCTGCCCTCGCTGCCCCTTCAGCGGTCGCCTCCGTGGCGTGGCCGAGTCCTGCTGGGCAGCTGGTGCTGGATTTGGTTTGGAGCAGCAGAACGCTTAAGAACGTGCCATTAACATGACACAGACCTTGGCAGCAAACGCAGAACAAGGAAGAAAACACAGCATAGGCAGCAAACTCCCCCAGTGGCTGCGACGGTGTGTTTGTGTAAGACAGACATGGCTCAGAGTACAGCACGGGTCCCAGCGGCTGCACAAGCATCGCTGCAGGAGCAGCAGAGCACGGGGCTGCCTTGCCAGGACAGTTTTAACTCAGTGGGGTTCCACTGGGAAGTGATGCTGCCTGGCAAACCTGCAGGATCCTCGGGCAGGGGCTGAGGCTGGGTCCAGGAGCAGTTTCCCACAAGCAGATGAGGGTGAGCGTCCACAGGCGCTGTGAATGTGGTGGAGCTCATCCCATCACACTGATGGCATGCTGGGCAGAAATGTGTGCCTGGTCACAACCCTCTTACAGAGCAGTCCAGATGGTCAGGCTTCTAGGTGTTTCCTAGCAGTCAGTGACTCAACATGGGATAAATTTTTATAGCCTGGATAGTCTTGGTTCAAATACAGATACAAATAAAAGCCCTGATGTACACTTCCCTGTGGCTGAGGATATCCCTCTTTTCACACCCATCTAGTTTAGCAAGTAGTTACAAGTATTTAATATCCTGTGTTGATATTGCCTTGCCTTCCTCTCTGCCCAGTGCAGCTCACACACGTGTCCTGCTGCTGCTGGGTGCAACAGCGCAGGCAGAGGGGAGGAGGCTGGAGCTTGCTGGAGCTCACAGACAATGCTATTCCTGAAAAGCTGGGAGACAAGAATTTACAGGAGGGAGACCAAAATACTGTTTAACTGTGAGGGTTAAAATGCCATTCCCTGGTGTTGCAGGTTGTGTTGACAAACCCTAGCGAAGTGGCTAAAGTTCGGATGCAGACTCAGAGGAACCCATGCCCTTCCACCACACATCAGACTGGTTCCAAGCCAAAGTACCGAGGGTCTCTGCACTGTCTGAAGGTTATCATCAAGGAGGAAGGTTTTGCGGGTCTCTACAAGGGCTGTTCTGCATTACTCTGCAGGGATTGCTCTGCTTCTGCAATATATTTCCTTTCCTACTCTGCTCTGTGCGATTGGCTCACACCAGATGGGAGAAATAAACCAGGTAGGTATTGGAAAGCATCTGGCATTACCTGCAAAAATGGCTTATTTAGTCCCACACTAAGAGGGAAACCAGGCTCTGGGCAAACATCACCCAGTACCCATAAAACCTCACCCAGATCCTCATGAGAGGTTGCTCTGTGTGTGCTGGCTTTAGTGCCAGCAACTTGCATGCGAGGGCTTCACTGTCCCCACCTTGTCACTAAGCAGCTCCTCCTCCTCCTGCAGGAGGGGTTCTTACTACACCCTCTGGTGCCTTGAATGTGGATATGAAATCCTGTTAATGCAAAAACAGGGTAACAAGAAATTAAACATGGACAAAGTTCCTGGGAGCCATCATGGAGCTCAGACAGGGGTCAGTCCAGAACTTGAAGTCCAAGGGAAGAAGGTAAATACACTTCAGGTTCTTAGCTGTGATTTGGCTCCAAAAAGCAACTATCCACTTTGAGAAAAGATTGAATAGGTAAGATTCAGCAAAAGAGCATCTCCCTGAGAATTATAAAAATTAGATCCATCTGAGGAGGGTGTGAGTGTTCTCAGGCTGTGCCACATCAAGTTTGCATAGTGTTCAAAGTGTCACATGTGCAAAAATTCTCTGAGATCACTGGAAACACAACTGCAAGAGCTGCACAAAATAACTCCCAAAAAACATGAAAGTTACCAAAGTTTGTTGTCAAATCTGAGATGGCTGTAGCTGAACGAGATGCAAGTGAACTGCCCTTCTCCCTTCACTCTCTCCTGCAGGTTTCCTTGTTGTGCTGCTTTCTGGTGGTTTTGCTGGAGTCCTGGCCTGGGGATTAGCTACTCCCATGGATGTCATCAAATCACGCATGCAAATAGATGAATCGGAGCAGCACAAATACAAAGGCCTGATCCACTGTGTGAGGGAAAGTGTGAGAAAGGAGGGGGCAAAAGTGCTTTTCAAAGGACTGGGTTTAAATTGCATTCGTGCCTTTCCTGTAAACATGGTAGTGTTTGTAACATATGAAGGTGTACTGAGATTCACAGATCATTATATAAACAAAAAATAGCTTGTTCCACTCTGTCCAAAGCCTATTTTATTTATTTACTTTTTTTGTAAGACAACATACTCAAACAACTCTTGAATTGATGGACAGCATAAGAACTGTGGACATTTCAGCCCAAAGCTGACAATTGATGGCTTTGTTTTATTCTTACAGGACTACAAACTCATCAGGGAGCCTTTGCTTCATATAAAACCTCCCTTTTATCTCATTAAGGTATTTAGACTGTAACTGCTCCTTAGGCCCCTGAAACATTTGCAAATTTTTATGTTCTAATAAGTTGTTTGTTTGATCAGATGTTTTGGTAAATCAAGTAATATTTTTCTACTGGCACAAACAATGATCCTCACAACCGAAGGAAGAGCTGGGGGGCAGTTTGTGTGAGATTTAACACTCTCCAGCGTGTGCTCTTTACATGCTATGCCTGCACTGCATTCACCGAGTGACTCACATATTTGGGCTTCAGGCTGCAACCTCCCCTTCCCAGCAGTAATTTTCCCAAAGCTCTCTCCAATTATATCCCCTTGGCAGGAGCTGAAGCAGGAATGTCCTTTCTTTTCCCCGCTGCAGCCATGCTCTGTTGACATAACTGCGCTAATGGTCGCGCTGAGCGCCAGGCGCCGTTCCCGGCAGCCCGTGTGATTTTCTCCCTGAGCCCCACACAGCTCCAGCCCTCTCCCCAGGCCATGGAGCAGCGGCTCTCCCAGCTTGGCACAGCTTTGGAGTCAATCTGTTCTCATCCTGGAGCGAGGGCAGGAATAGATGCAAAGCCTCTTTGCTTGGCGAAGGAAAGGCTGCCATAAAACCCATGCACTGGCGGGGTTAGGCAAGTTAGAAGAGTTGCAAAGTTGCAGAGGATAATCAAGATTACCAGCTTTTAAAAGTGCATACTCTTCTCCCTTTAAATGGTGCTGTTAGAAGCAGCTAAATGTATTTTGCCAAAGGTGCATTTTGAAAGAATTTCAGAATTTTCTATTACTTCTTTCTCATCTTCCTACTACTTATTTTTTATTACTTTTTCCTATTTTTTTTTTTCATGAAAAAGACAGTTGAAAAACCAGTGCCCATGCTATTGCTTCAGAAGGAAAATCCCTAAACTCAGAAATGTTAGTTTGCTCATTCTGCCTCAAGGGCAACATATTTAATCCCTGGTTTAATCCCTGGAGGACGACACTTGAAGAATTCTGGATCCAACTTCTCAGATTCTGCTAAAAATACATTGATTTGAGGGAAAGGGGAATACTATATCTTAAAAGGAATTCTCATATTTAGGACCCTTCTGGTCAGCAATCACTCTCACCAGTTGATGACAAGGTTTTACTACACTGGCTGCAGTTTTGCAGCAGACAGGACTTGTCAGCTGCCTTCGACGTGCAGAAAGAACTACAAGTTTAAAGAATTCAGGGGCTCCTAGACAAGAATAAAGGAAACCTCTTCTACCCCACGCAGAGACCACTAAAAAGCTCCACAACACTTCCTGAAATCTAAGCCTTCGACTGGCCTTTTAAACACAGCCATGCTATCATGTCAAACAGGCACCTGAATTCTTTCAAGGGTCTACCCAGCTCTTGCAGCTGATCCAAGAGCAGGGTGAAGAGACCAGGCTGGTGCACACTATGTCACCTTAAGGGGAGTGAAATGAAAGACCCAACACTAAACTGGATTCTCTCCAAAATGCTTATGGCCTCAGTAACCTACCACACTGGTGACAGCTTTGGGTGTCAGCACCAAACTTCCTTTAGTCAGAAAGTCCTTAAAACAGAAGATTTAACTAGGTTCTTGGGGTTTGAAATTCCTCTTAAGAGTCTACTACCTTCATCTCTTTCTACAAGGGATGCATTTAACTGGGTACTGATTTACCCCTGCTCTGCCTGGATGTTTGGAATCATACTCCTTTATGCCATGTTATTCTCAGCCAACCTTGTTCTCAGGCATTACATTCTCTGATTGGAGACAGTGAAAGAATGCCTGCAAAACAGACTAAACAACCATTTACTCTTAGGCAGCACTGATACCATTCATGGTCAGCCCAAGGTTTGAATATTAAATAGCCCATCTTTCCCAGTACACTCATGCACTCAGAGAACTAAAAATGTCTCCTCCTGTGGGTGTAACTGAAATACAGCTGATTCCAAGGGAGAGAAATTACAGAGGAATTGTAAATATGAGTGGGAATAACTGCAGAAGCCAGCGCAAGGGGCTGAGAACTCTAAGCCTCGGGATGTTCAGCACCACTGGTAAGCAGGCTCTCATGTGGTCTGAACAAATGCTACATGAGAGGAAAATTGTATCTCCAGGCAGCTTATTTCAGGAAGGTAAGGGCTTCACAATCCATCCTGTTCAGAGCCCTCTACTGGGAAAAAAACATCTACACAGTGTGTGGGTGACAACCTGAGGTAGAACTCACTGCTGATACAAACAGCAACAGGTACAGGATCTGACTGTGTGCTGTAAATACAGGCACGCAAATTTAAACCAATTTTTGTTTACTGACAGGACACATATTATGCGCTTCACTACACCCCAACACACCTGGGTGTTCAGCTTCTGGTTTTCAGCACTTGACTGCTTTATTTTCTGATTTGTATTATCTTGACCTTTAGCTACTCTAATGGTCACAGAACTATTTATTTTGATAAACTAGCTAGCTGAAGGCCAGCCAACAGAAAGAAGGTACCACATTTGCTGTGCTGATGTTTGGTTTATTCTGCTGTATTGACTGTAGCTTGTCATATAGATAATTTCTTTCAGCAACAAAGCTGGTGGCCTTGAGAAAAAAACCTCTTAGAAGTCACACTCATAATTAGGTTCCATGTTGCTGACAGTTCCTGTTTGCTCTGACAATGCTCATGAATATCCAGGCAGGTTTCAGCTTTCCTCTTGGTGATTGTGGAAGCTCTGTGGGAAGCTCTCAGGATCTCCTCTGGTCAAGATGACCCCGAGATGTATTAAAAATCTCTTTTCCCCAACCCAGCTGTCGAAGAAGGAGTCAGAAGTCTTCAGCTCGTGTTCTCAAGGTTGTTTATTATTTGTTATCTAAAACATTTTCTGTCTGGCCTGCCGAGGTCTGTTCAGCAGGTCAGTCCGAGGCACACCACACTGCCCTGAGGCGGTGCTATCTCTTTATACTAAAAACTACATGTACTTTATTTACAGTTATTTTCCAATACCTATCATCAGTGTTAGACAGTGTCTTTCTACTTTACCCAATCCCAAAGTGCTAACATCACCAAGAAGATGGAGGCTAGGAAGAACAGGACAACACCCAAGTCCCTCCATCTTGCCTCCTAGACCCCTATAGTAAAAATCTTCAAAATTCCACTTTTCACCCTGTGACAACTACTGTTATGCTACTTAAACTTTTGTGACTTGTAATTCAATATAAAGTTGGTAATTTGCTCCGTGGGTTAAGATCAAAATCCCAAGTGTCTTTGGCTTCCTGCCAGGGTCTCCGGGCCCTTGCCAGGATCTTGAGCCATCCAGGGCATCCAGAGGGATGTCCTGGGTTCCGACAGGAAGCTATTCAGAATCTGTGCTTTTGCACAGAAATTGAGAGCACCATGTTTCCACTTAAGCACCAGTTTACACCAAACCCACTGAGGTGTCACTGTAAAGAGGTCTCATTGACCTTCCCCCATCCCAGAGCTGGCTGCTGTGCACAGGGACATGAACACCCAGCCTGGCCTGGGACCAGGTCATCTCTGCACCACTCACCCTTTACTAGCTCAGTCTGGGAGCAGTCTGAAGTCTGCCTGGAAGGCGGATCTCAGCACCCTGTTCCAACACCTCAAAACAAAGACCAGCTACATTAGGTGACAAATCAACACCTAAAAAGGTAGGAAGAGAGGTCAAAACCAGAATAATGGTAATTTAAGACTTAAAAAAAAAAAAGTAAACCAGAAGTTTGACACAGACTTTTATCTACATTTTTATTACAGTGAGATGGACAAAATGAGCAGATTGAGGAAAAGGTATTGAACAATGTCTGATAACATTTCAGTGTGTTTTTGAAAACTGCCTTGTCTTGACCTTTAAAATGACCCCTGTGACATGAACCATAATTACAATAGTTAGGAATTCATCAAGACTCCTCTGAGAAACTGCACCATCTCAGAAGCATGTTGGTACGAATTCCTCAGAAGACTTGAAAACAGTGCTTGTTCAGCAAACAAATACTAAATAGTTTTCCTATCACTCTCCTGTCTAGAACTTTCAAAACATATTTCAATTGTTGTTATAAAATAATCCATCTGCTTATCTAGAATAGAACACAGCACTGTTTCTCCTACAGCATATTTCCCTTTGCTGACTAACAAAATAAATTCTCAGCTAATGAAATAAATCTAGCAGAACAAATCTGCATATATTTTAAACAACATATTTGCATTATAAGTCTGTAAAAGCACTTTTAAAGTCAATTTAAGGCTTATCTTTTATGTATGGCTTAAAGATGACAAAGAGTAGACTGCAAGAACAGGAAGGTCATCATTAAAGTCCAAAGTAAATCCAATTAAAACTTAGCTTATTTATTACTGGATTTAAGAAGCTGCTTTTTTCCCTTAAGAATTGCTCCACTACTTCTAGAAAAAAAAAAAAAAAAAAAAAAAAAAAAAAAAAAGTTCTTCTACTCATTGTTAAGCCCTTGCTGGCACTGAGATGCTTTGCCTGTGGGTTATGGAGACTGTCTCTGGGAAACATTTTCACTAATTCACTGAAGTCAATGGCATTAGATTAGAAATGTCAGCTCACATAAACTGTAAAGAAAAAGACAAAAGCTAAGCCTTGCTATTTCCAGCACAAGTTTGAAACTCATGCAATATGCCTAAGTTTGCCTTGCACTCCTGCCTTTTCCTTGGCTCCTTGAACAAACATAACCACATTAACCCACCTGTGTTATCTACATCAAATAAAACCGTCTTTGCTAAGACTGTATCTGGGCTAGCAATTTTCTATTCTATACAAGACAGATCTAACAGTTTGCTCTCAGCACTGTTCAGATCAAAACAAATAGCTAA